CTCTGTCTGTGTCTGTGTATTCTCTTGTTCCGATTAACCCAGCCAAATCTTTTTTCTTGTTTTGTATCTATATCTACGCCGGGATCCGGAGTCGAGGCTGATCCTCTTGCTGTAGTCCTGTGTCTTGGATCCTCTATCCTGAGTTCTGGATTAAGTCGTGGACTTCGGGTCGTGGCTGAACCTGTCTCTGCGGTCCTGCCTTGGGTCTCGTCATGCTGCTTCCCTGATGGCTTCCACAGGATTGTAGCTGACATCTTCGTGGATTCATCTTCTTATTACAGACACATGCATTTCCTAACATTCGGTCTATATGCTGTAAAATGTATTATCTCTTTGATTTACACACGGCATCTATTGCACGTCTGTCCGTCCTGGGAGAGGGATCCCTCCTCTGTTGCTCTCCCTGAGGTTTCTCCCATGTTTCCCTTAAACTGTGGGTTTTCTCTGGAAGATTTTCCTTGTACGATGTGAGGGTCTAAGGACAGAGGGTGTCGTTTTTCTCATACTGATATTCTGAACAATCTGTGCTGTTGTATTTGCTGTAAAGTGTCTCTACTGTAGGCTATTTTTATTATACAGCACTTTGGCTCGACAGCAGTCCTGTTTCCATGTATTTATCTCTGCTGCATCACTACAGCAGACAGCTGGCTCCTGAACGCCACACGCTGCTGCCTAATGAATGTTTAGTCAAACAAAACGCCCGAGGCTCCCGGCTGACGTCTGACAGCCGACACGAGTTGAATCTGAGCCAAGCCTCCGACAGACTGATCCGCAGGTAGATAAGGACGACAGGTAGACTGATGGACAGACGCACAACATAATAAAGCGTTGGCCCTGAACGCCTCGCAGACAGATCTACAGCTGAGCCGACACACAGGACACAGTCAGGCTCGTTTAATGACACCAAGATTACTGGGTCATTTAGTGAGGATGGAAACCAAAATATGTAGAGCTTTTTATTAATGCAATAAAAGTACTAATAACACAATGTGAATACTCCACTACAATAAAGGTCATGGATTCAACACTGTATTTAAGTAAAGGTAGTATTTAGTGAGTAGTATGTGTCCTATAAAAGTGAAAAGTATTAATTGTGCAGTAAAATAAAGTATTTAAAGTAGGGTACTGATTGTGTTGTAAGTTATCTAAGTATCTAAGTTTGTTTAGTGCACACAAAGTAGAAGTATTGAATGTGTAGGAAAATAAAGTGAAAGTACTTAAAGTAAAATAACTGATTGTGACTCAAATCTAGTTAAAATACTTAAATTAGAAGTGCAGTTTGTGCAGAAAATATAGGTAAAGTATTCAAAGTAATCATAATGATTGTGCATTAAAATGTAGTGAAAGTATTTTAGGTAAAAGTGCTGATTGTGAAGTCAAATGTATTCAAAGTACTTAAGTTAAAAGTCTTCATTGTGCATTAAAATGTTTATTTAAAATACTTAACACATACTAAAAAGTACTCAAAGTCCTTCACTTTATCAAAAACATTCAAAATCATCCAGGGTTTTTCTGGTTTTCACTGGACAGGAATGAAAAACGGTTAAAGTAACTTAAGCTTGCAGACAAGAGTAGTGGAGTGAAAAGTACAATATTTACCTTTGAGGTGATGTGTACGACACACGGGAAATGGAAACACAGATTGAAAAAAAATGTTGTCAATAAAATCTCCAAAAATAGTAAAGAAATGTCAGAAAGGTTTCTCAAAATCCAAGCTAATACCTTTACATTTCAATCAAAACTAACATATATTCAGTCTCCTATGATATAAACAGAGAAAAGCTGAACCTATGTAAGAGTCTGAAAACAGCAGTGTCTGCTATTATACTGTAGTTTCCAAAAACATCTCGGTGGATCGACTAAACGCGTCACCCAGAGTACAAAACCTTAGTTTTTTAGGTCATAGTTATTTAGAATTCAACTAAATATAAACATAAGCAGATGATTGATGGTGCCGCAGTCAGCCTGAGGACAGAGAGGAGTTGTATTTCCGTACAGTGAGTCCTGCAGACAGAGGATCAGGTTACAGTGAACACACAGTCTGAACAGGTAGAAGGACAGGTGAGGCAACACACACATGTTGTTGTTGGTCTGTGTGTCAGTACAGTACGACACAAAAAGAGGATCAGCTGGGCAGACATTCAGGAACACAGGGTCGGGTTTCTGCAGTTTCCACTGACACACACTCAATATAATACAGTACAAGTAAAAGCATTACATTCAAAATCTCAATTATCAGATAAATATACTTAGACTAACACAAGTTAAATCATTATTCTGCAGAAAAGAGGCCTCTATTTGTCAGAGGTGTAAAGTCACTAAGTAGATTTACTCTGCACTTTTGAGAGACTTGTACTTTACTTGAGTATTTCCCTTTTGTGCTTCGTTGTACTTTTACTCCACTACATTTATGTAATACCTTTAGTTACTTAACCAATCTGCTCAATGACTACTTTTACTGTCGCTACTTTAACTATATTTTGATGATAATACTTTTCTACTTTTACTTGAGTTACATTTTGAATGCAGGACTTTTACTGTAACAGAGTATTCCTATACTCTGGTACTTCTACTTTAACTCAAGTTCAACATCTGAGTACTTTTTCCAGTGGTGGGAAAAAGTGTTCATGTTCTTTACTTGAATTAAAGTCATAATAGTACCACACTGTGTTTACCCATAACCCCAGTAGACGGACAGCAGGTGTATCTGACCTACCTTTGTTATTTAAAAAGTGTTCCTCTCTTCTCAGCGGAGGTGAAGCCGTTAGTATCCGTCTCTCAGCATCTGTTTTCCGGCAAGCTAACCCGGAGCTAATGCTAATAGCAACACCTGTATGCTAACGTTCACCAACGGCCCGAAGTTACCACTAACTTTTGTTTTATTATCATCACAATGAGAGTAACAGAACCCTTTTAGTATTTTGTCTTAATCATCACATTTTGTGTGACATTAAACAATATATTTGACTGGTTTTGAGAGTTTTTGTATATAACGTAACCTACAGTATAGCTTCACATGCTCCAACTGTCACCTGTCCAGGTGCAGTACCACTTCTCACCATATAATTAACACTATCACTCTCAGTCACAAGCCAGGGGGCGCTGTTTCACCACTTTAAACTAGAAAAACTGGAAAAAAAGTGTTGAGGTCCTTTCTCCACGTCATTTGGTTACCTACAGATTGAGGTTGTTAGTAAAAAATCAAACTAACTGATACATTAAATGATATATTTGTAGACAAGACTCATTAATCCTAGTTGGAATCCAACTTAGCTGCAAAATCAAATACTTGATAACATAAAATAAATATTTAAGCTCAATGTGCTGAGATTCATGACCTGATTCAGGAGGAACCATGTTCCTTGAACCCCAACTGTGTGTGTGTGTGTGTGTGTGTGTGTGTATGTGTGTGTGTGTGTGTGTGTGTGTGTGTGTGTGATCTTGAATTTCTATGATCTAACCTCCACCCAATGACTGTTATATTTCTTGGACATGAACAAAAAATAGATACAAACAGAGCCCCAACTTAACACCCACAACCAATAAGATATTCAAAATACTTACTTAAAATAAAAAATAAAAGAGACCCAAAATGACTATATAGACACAACAAAATGACCCAAAGGAGACACAAAGCAATAACAGGAGGAGATTGGCTATCAGAAAATGACTGACAGACAGAAAGACAGTAGGAATGACCATACAGGGACTCAACATTACTATAGAGACTCAAAACAACTTCAAAAAGACTCAAATTGACTGAAAACAGAATAAAAAAACTGCAAAGATACTCCTAATGACACAAAATGAGGAAAATGACCACTAGACAAGAAAATGACAAAGAAATAACAAAAATGTTCCCCTAAGACAGACAGATAGACAGACCTGCTTCCTCTGAGTGTTCCTTTTAATTAAAACCACATTTCTTATTTCTTGGAACTCATCATCTACTTCCTCCCCTTCAATTAACCCCGGCACCGGCCAATCAGGCGCTATCTCGTTAAGGCGGACCCCTTCACCCCTCTAATCTGTCTCTCTCTCTCTCTCTCTCTGCGGGACAGGAAGTGCCCGGCAGCTAATTAGAGCCCCCCCTCCCCCCTCTGAGGGCCCCAAACTCCTTCACCTCCATCACTAAAACTTTACTGAGAGCAGGAAGAGTTTTTAATCAACAAAAACAGAGAGCATGTGGGAGCTGATGTATTGTCACCTGCAGAGAAAAACAAATGGAAACTTCGTTTCCGCCGATTTGATGAGAAAAATTAACCCTCACTTTAAGACAATAACACCAAAAATGCTTCTTCTCCCTTCATTCCTCACTGCTTTATTAAGCATTCAGTCCAGGAAGTAGACAGAGCCCGTCAGAAATACAATTGATTCTTGTTCATTTGTTCTTTTTTTTTACATATATAAACTTTACTTAATTCAAAAACATAACATATATATTCTAAGCCCAGACTCATATAAATCTGGTCTTTATTTTATCAATACAAAAGTTTAAACTTCAGAGGAACCAGAAATACAATTTTAAAAGTAGGATGTTTGACATAAAAAAACAAAAAAAACTGTTCATATGTCTTGAGCTTATCTTACATTGTTTTTATATCGCATTCATTTTTGTAAAACTTCTTATTTTTGCTCCTTCTTATTCATATTTTGTTGTCATTTGCTTATCCCTTTTAGTCCCTGGTTAGTGTTCCTTCTTGCCAAATGTATATATGTATATATAATTAATGTTTGTTTTAAAATCTCATTATAAAGACTTTCCCACAAGGTTAATAAAGTAACATCTAATAACCCTAAAAACCACGGAAAATATTGATGGTTTATAAAGTAAGTAAGGTATTAAAAGGATAATCATTAGCTCTGTTTAACTTGGGCTACTGTTGATCATTGACAATTCACTCAAACTAGATTTAAGTTCAATGTTTTTAAGTTCACATTTGTAGAAAACAATTTGTCCTGAAATGTGTGAACATGCAAAGGAAAACACGGACTCATCGTCTCCAGACAATCATTTTTATATCATATTTTCTCATGTCACAATAATTAGCGTCATAATCATCAGTCTCATAAATAGATCGGTTGATTCTTCACACAGTTAGAAGTCATATCACAGCGTGTATATATATACAGATTTAAACAAACAAAGCAACGTGCCGAGTCACTGTCCAGCACATAGACCGATCCCGCTCAGTCAGTCTCAGTGAAAGAGGGAAAACTTTTAAGCGTTTTCAGTGCAGCTGAAACCTTAATTGTTAAGTCATTAAAATTTGATTTACAGTATGACATCAAGATCATATTTCTCTACATTTACCTTCATTTAAATATGTAATAATGCCTTCAAGTTTGGGTCTAAAGGATCTGAGGTTGAATAAAAGCTGCCTGAAAACAAGTCGAGTTTTTCTCACTCGCTCTGAGAAGTTCAGACTGAAATGTATATTCCTTTGCCGTGTACAAACAAAAAAATAAAGCAGAAATGTTCAGGCAGTTACAACATAATGCTACAAGCATAATATCCAGGATTTAGTCAGAGCCCGGTCACCAGAAGCAGCCAGTCCAATAGGTTCAGTCCAGGATGTAGTCAGGGTCCGAGTAGCAAAGAAAGGTAGAGCCAACAGGAAGTGTGTGTGTGTGTTAAAAAGTCTAACTTCATCCATTTGTGTTACAGATTTCAAGATAGTCAAAATAATAAGATACGTTGTTTCAAGCAGGAAGTAGACTGAGCCCAACAGAAAACATGGAATAGCAGGCTGACAGTTTCACTTTTTTTGTTGCACCATTTGGTGTTCCCAGTAGGGATGGAAACAGGTCACAACAACTTTAATAGTGCAAGACAAACAGTTCTTGTGATTCAAGAGAGCAGAATTATACAAAACAAACAAAACAAAGAGACGAGACAATCATTTCAGTTTTCATTATCCAACCCAGACTTAAATAAACCAGACGCCCCAGAGGACTGACTTTAAAAAAAGAGCTAATTTCTTTACCTAATTGTATTCTCATACATCAGAAGAATAGTGAATGTGTCATTTTTGCATGCACTTATATTCTAATTATTCTGATACATATATGACTTCTTTCTTTTTGGATAAAACCCCAAAAAACACAAAGTCTTAAATGCATTACAGTGATGAGGACAGGCTTTACAATCCAGCAAATAGCCTGAGCCATGTCACATTCCTGTAATGAAACGTAATCAGTGACAGGAGACGGAGGTGGATTTCCAACAAGGATTTGTTTTTCATTGCAGATTTTGGAACATAAATTTTAAAAAAAGTTAAAGTTCCACATAATAACGGGAAACAAAAACGTGTCTTTCCAACAAACAAAACATGTTCAGGAAATACCCATGGCCCAGAAACAACCACAACAACAATATTCAATCAATTAACATATGAGTGTTTTTGCTCCATGACATAGCCTAGGCCGATGACCACACATTGATTAACTGAGTTCAAGTGAGTTTCTGGAAAATGTGTCGCACATTATAATTTGCGTTGAATGTTGTTAGCAGGAGATAGCTTAACATGTTTCATGTTTAGAGAAACAAGAGTTGTTATTTCTGCAAAGCTACAGACTTTTCGTACATTTCTCGGTCACTGATTATTTGTTGATGTAGCTAGTTATAGTAGCTCGACTAACTGCCATGTATAAATGGAAATCTTACTAAGAGATGAAAAGGGGCAAGTGTTTATCCAATATCGATAAAAAAATGCCATACTATCAAATCACTTTGGCAGAAAAACATAAGAAAATAGAGCCAAGCTGTACAAAAACCGTTTTACCATTTAACAAACAGCTCCACTAACTTATTATCTGTTACTTTAGGTTTCTGTCACATTGCATGGCTTTCATCATCAGGAAGAAGAACTGAAATAATCTCCGTTACATCTGAGGAGATATTATGAAATGTGGCTGAAATCTTGGGTCAAATTTCAGTTTTGAAGAAGGGAAAGATTATCTTAAAACGTCAATGAAATCGTAGTTACAGTCGGTTATGAATCTCTGCAATCCAGGTCACAGACAGACCCCCCGGGGCATTTACTACTGAAGCGTTTAGTTGCGGACAGGAAGCCCAGTAAATAGCCAGATCACAACAGAGTTACTGCACATAAACAATGAAATAAATCATTCAGTTTTACCAGGCAACTGTTTTCCAGGACATAGCCCGGACCCATAAACCAGATATTAGAATCTTAAAGGTGCTTTTCTGAAATCACCTTCGGACAGAAACAAGCATAAAGTAAAGCGTTACAGTCAGTTACAATGTTTGTTTTCCAGGTTGTAGCCAGGGCTCAGAGGAACTGAGTGGTGCAGTCTAATTACAGTACATTCAATAGCAACACAAATGAGCTGACCAAACTTTTCCATTCCCGTCTTGTCTTTAGTTTCTTCTTCTACACCTTTCAAAACCGGTCTGAGGTCACAAATGCAGGGAATGAAAGAGGAAGAAATGTTGTTTCCAGGTGTTAGTCTGAGCCAAGCCCAAACTCTCCAGCTGAGGTGATCAACAGTAGTGAGAAGGAAGGGAAGGGACGGATGTTTCCAGGCGATAGTCTCATCCCGACCCGGCAGCACCACCACCAGGATTCTCTTTACTGAGACGGACTAATTCCTGGGACAAAAGCTCCAGGTCCTGCAGAGAAAGTGGTTATTTTACAATTGAGCTGCCACTTACAAATATTCTGTCTGTTGATTTATCTGTTTTGATTGATTTCTGGTGTCTATAATATGTCGGACGAGTGGAAAAAGTGTCAAATGTCTTGTTTATTCTTAGTGTTGGTTTAGTGATATTTCGAAAATCCATTAATATATTAAAGTACGAGCTGACCAATATTATGATTCCTCGTGAGACTTGCATTTATGTGAGATAGACAAAGTGTTCATCAAAGCCACAAACAGAAAGAAACAGAAACCGTGTATCTCGTCTGTTAACTGCAGTCTGTGTGTGTGTGTGTAACCTGGACCTCCCTCTGGGTGATGTGTCCTCCTACACACTCCTCAAACACGGCTACACCCCCCTGCTTCACACACCAGACATGTTTAAAACTGTGCAGTTCTTGCTCATTGTCATGGGAACACAGTTACCACCACCACTTAACTACGCTTTACATCAAAACACACACACACACACACACACACACACCACACACACACACACACACACACACACACACACACACACCACACACACACACACACACACACACACACACACACACACACACACACACACACACACACACACACACACACACACACACACACACACACAGAGACACATACACACACATATACACAGACACACACACACACACACACACACACACACACACACACACACACACACACACACACACCACACACCCACACACCTTTATGTTCAGACGCCCACAGTGCTGATTTAAAGCCGTTACGTAACGTTGTCTAGCATTGAACTACATTACCCAGAAACCCTTTGATGCAGTGATGTCACACTGCTCAGTTCCCTCATTTATTTATGTTTCTGTGTGTTGAATGTTTGTATGTAATGCTTAAACAATAAATCAATGACATAAAATGTATTGATGACAATGTTTGCAACAAAATACAAATTTTAATCGACAAAAATAAAATATTTTGAGTGTGTGTGTCTGTGTATGTAGGGGTGTGTGTGTGTGTGTGTGTGTGTGTGTGTGTGTGTGTGTGTTACCTTCTGCAGGTGCATGTTCTTGGTCAGCTGCTCCTCCAACATGTTCTGCAGCTTCTTGTTCATCTCTCTCAGGTTCTCGTCTCCCGGCTTCACCAGATCTCGCAGCACCGAACCCAGACCGCCTCTCTCCGCCAGAACGCCTCCGTGACCCCCGTGACCTCCGTGACCTCCAACCGCACTGCCCGAAAATCCTAGGAAACGAGAAGAGGACTGAGTGTCTCCAGCAGAATCGATAAGAAGCTCTCTCAGTTTGTTCTTGAGAGATTTCCACTGAGACGAGTGGAAGGTCCTCTGCTGTCAGACTGTGAGAAGTTCATTTGGTCGTATCGTTCTCCTAAATCTCACTTCTCTTAAACTGCCGTTGGAAAAGTTCCAAATTGGAGATGTCCTGATGCACTATTACGTTCTTAACCAACCACACCTGCTCTTTCCCTGCAGGTGAGCTGGAGGATTAATCCCACTTTGATCATGAATTGGAGGCGTGTGGAAGATTACCAGCACAAGTCACGCCCCCTAAACAACACATAACACTATATGTGTAAATAGGCGGTAAGAAGTAGAAGAACTAAGGTATGGTTTCTCAAATGAATACAATAACATGTTTCGTTGCTATGGACAAACAGTTTAAGGTACTGTTAAAACGTGACTTTATATTGACTGCTTTCTTGTTTCTTCTCAGACTTAAGAGAAAGCAAACATAAGGAACCTTTGGAGGATCCCAGGAATCAATGTAATACTTCAAAAGAGGGTCCGTTTATCTCTTCCTGCACCTGGCCCAATAATAAAGCTGTAATGTGAACCTGTTACCACAGTGTTCCTGAAGGTATCGGCTAAAAACAAAACCTTTTTAGAACCGTTTTAAGAACAGCTGATGCTCCCTTAAAGCTCCCAGCAAATACAACGAATCGTTTACAGAGAGCTGTCCGAAGGGGATGATACAGGAATAACAAAGATACAGTGAAGTGGGAACTCTGTCTGAAGGGGAAGAACTCGACTGCACATGGACAATCTGTTCGTGTGCTGATGGCCTCGTTGTTAAACCATAAGCAGTATGAACTCTCTCTCCTTGTGTTTCCTCAGTTAATCCATCCATCAATCAGACTGTCCTTATTGTCCTCGAGGGGTTAATTAAGCTGTCAGCCACATGGCATCAGTCCATCAGATCAGATAACACGACTCAGTGTTCAGTTACAGCAGCTCTGTGAAGCTCTGTTAGCACACACTGTATAGTTTAGCACGTTAGCATGCTAGTAGCTAATTAGCAGAAAGATGAAATTTCGATGACGCAGATGATCTCATTAATTCTGCAGGAATTTGTTCATGAAGCAAAGCACTGTACACGAGATAATGTTGGAGGACCAGATGGTCACCAAAGTTATGGATCAGTATTAATATTTACTTTGAGGGTAACATGAATAATAAACCACATTTCCTCTCGATCCATCCAGGAGTTTGGATATTTCAGACTGGACCAAAGTAAAGACACACTTTAACATCCACAGCAACTCTAGCAGGAATAACATCAACTCCTTAAAGAGGCCCTATTCTGCTTTTGGAGTTTCCCTCTCCTGTAGTTTGGTCTATAGGTTTGTGTGCATGTAAATCAGGGGTGTCAAACTCAAGGCCCGGGGGCCAAATCCGGCCCGTGACTTATTTTCATGTGGCCCCACAAGAGCTTGCAAAGAATATAATATGTGTTGTGGAAATAATTATCATAAGACGCCAATTAGTAACATACAGGACAAACCTCGATGTCTGTTTACCTTCTTTAAGGACACAGGCGGCTTAGCCAATAATGTTATTGTTCCCATTCTGTGACCGGTCAATACTGGGATACAGATGGTCTGTGTTGTGGGTACACTGGGACACTTCCTTCTCTGTATTTGTGGACTCCAAGGTAAAATCTTCGAGGTCATAAGTGTCCGAGGCAAGTAGCTCTGTGTTCCCACACTGTTTAGGCTATCTCCTCAAATATGTTGTTTACTCTCTGCGAAACCAGTTAGATGGGCTGGCAAGAGAGAGGCTCTCCAGAATTGACGTGGCAACTCTACCATGGAGTCAGAACCTCTGACTCTTGGATTTGTGATGTGAATACTCTGGTACCAACTCCAAATAAATCACAGTGGTTTGACATCAAAGCTCCGACTCTTCCCGTGTCTCCTTCCTGAGTCGGTGACTCCACTGCATGCTACACAGAAGTTTCCTCTACAATATGTTTATTATACGGTTACATGCCGCTTTACAGAAGCACGTTGCCCATAAACTACATGTCCCACAATGCATCTCAAATGTGACTTTTTTCAAAGAATTTGAATTTTTCTCAGAATGTGGCCGTTTCTCAATCGCGAGGACGCTTGCTTGGTAGCATATGTCTTCCGAGTCACTTCCTTCAGAAGCGAGGCAAGAATCCTTCGTGGCATTCGGAAAACGAAGAGTGGAACAGGCGAGCAAGTGTGCAGGTGTGCGTCATATGAGAGGCCCCGCCTTACATTTTCCGCCACAGATTTGGGGAAATTGGTCCGTGCGCAAAGCATTGTGGGGATTTGAAGAACGCGAAGTCTACCCATGTGCAGCCTCAAAATTACCCCCAAACCAAGGACGCGGCCTTGGTGGAATTCCAAGTATGCTGGAGATTGGAACAGTCCTTCGGCGGCACTCGATGACGTAGTATCCTTGAAATATTGGCTTGGAAGCCAGTTTCCTCGAGATTGAGAAACGGCCTCTGACTTTTTTTTTTCAAAATGTCAATTTTTTTTAAAAACTTTTTTTTCTGAATTCTTGTCAAATCATTTTGTGACATTCTCACTGAAGAGACTTATGAAGTTATTACCCTATCCGATAACAATCCAATGCAGAGGCAATAATGTAATGTAATACATTATTTTATATATCTATATATGTATTTTTATATAGTCTTATATATATAAAACCGGCCCTTTGAGTGCAACCATGATGCGAATGTGGCCGAGATGAAATTGAGTTTGACACCCCTGATGTCAATGGTCTTCAGAGGCTAAAATCTCTGTGTTGAGGGAGGGGTTTTTATTTTATTTTGTGTTTGTATTCCAGCAGGAAGCATGAAGACACGACAGATGGCACGAGTACAAATAAGTTTCTTGTACAACTCAGTACTTCACGTGATATCCCAAATTAAGTGACTGCATCTTTTGACATTTTATCCTACCGTTTATTGCTGCTCTGAATGTGTCGAAAATGTGTGTGTCCTCGTTGAGGGCTGTAAACGTGCAGACAAACCTAACGTAGGCGATAGTTTAACTTCTGGCATGTAAACAGATTTTAGGTATGTACGTAGGTAAGTATGTTTATCCAACTGGGAGTCTGATCATCTGTCCGTATACGTTGGGCCACATGCTGTGTACGCTGTTGTTCTGCAGCTTCACTAATGATCCTGTTTCTCTCTGCGAGGCTCTGACCTCCCGCTGTAACGACATGATGAATGTGATGTTTGCAGAAAGCTGGCAGTAAACAGATGTCGACGCTCCTCAGGAGTCCACTACCTGTCAGACGAGCTGAGGGGAGTCATTCAGAGAGCTGCTGATTTACAGGCGGGGTACTTTTATTAAGTTGTATTCACACAGCAGGAAGTGAAGAAATAGTTTTTAAAAATGGTTTTGGTTGCATGTGAGCTGATGGAAGACGAGGGGAGGCGATACGTTGGGAGTTAAGAGAAGATAGGAAAGGATAAAAGGGTATGAGAGGAGAGGAAGGGAACAGAGGAAGCAACAGAATACAGGAGAGAGGAGAAAAGGAAACAAGTTAGAGTAAGAGAGAACGAAGATTAGAGGAAAGGAACAAGAGTGAGATAAGGAGACAGGTGAAGAGAGGAGAGGCAAAAAGTTAGGAAGGAGAGGAAACATGAAACAAGGAGACAGGAAGGGGAGAAAAAAGACAGTAAAATGACGAGAGAAGGATACAAGAAAAGGAAGGAGATCAGGGAGTATAAGGCAAGGAAAGAAGAGAAACAAGAGAGATGAGAAAGGAATGGGAGGAGAAACAGAAGAAGAAAGGAGATAAGTAACAAAGGGTGAGAGTAAGTAGAACAGAAGAGGATACGAGACAAGGAAGGAGGTGGGATAGGAAAAGTAGAGAGATTAGGCAAGACGGTGGAGGAGAGAAGTTAACGAGAGGAAAGGAAGGGACAAAAGAAGAAAGAGAAGGAGAAACTAGTGGAGGAGAAAAGTGGAAACGAAAGGAGTTGACGAGGATACAAGGTAACGATGGAGAGGAGGATGTGAGGTAAGACAGGGGAGAAGGGAAGGAAACAAGAGAGGATAGGAAAGAAGGATGTTGGTTTGTTGTGTTTTGATGAAGATCAGTTTTAAATTAGACACATGCTTACTCATCACATCTGATCACACACACACACACACACACACACACAACACACACACATCACTAACACACACACACAACACACACACACACAACACACACACACACACACACACACTAACACACACAACACACACACAAGCACACAGGCAACACACAGCACACCACTACACACACAATTACCATCAACACACCACTACACACACACACACACACACACACACACACACACACACACACACCACACAACACACCACACACACAAAAAGTGAGAAAATACCCAAAGAAATTGTGAATAAAGTCTAAAAAATTACCCCTAACAATATGTTTATTTATTTGTATAAATCCTAACATTTACTGCAAAAATATCCTAAAAAATATGTGAAATTAATGGAAAAAGGTTTTGATATAGGTGAAAATGTTTTTAATGCACAACAGATTACTTTACATCAGGTTTGAAATGCAGTACTTGCAGTGGAGTATTATCCCAGCGTGGTAATTGTACGGCACTTTCTGATCTGATTACTACTTTTGTTTCTGAGCATGAGCTGCTGACGTGCCCTGAAGCAAGGCACTAAACCTCCAACTGCTCTCCATAGATTACCACTGCTGCCTAGCAACGCTACAATAACGGCGACACGCTCGGTCGAGTTTTCACGACGAGATTTAACTAAATGTAAATGAACACTGGATGTATGGAGCTGTGTGTTGAATATTTAATACTGCAGCTGTTTGACCACACACACACACACACACACACACACACACACACACACACACACACACACAACACACACACACACACCACACACACACACACACACACACACACCACACA